GGCAGCGAGTGCTGCCCGAGCCCCCAGCCCCAAACCCCCCGAGGGAGCGATTCTGGGGAGGGCAGCGTGTTGGAAGATGGATTAAATCATGATTCCTGCAGCACAACAGCTCTCCCCTGAGCACCAAGCACACCGTCCCCAACAGCGGCCGCTCTTCTCATGGCCTCAGGTATTTTCAGCAATCAGAGAAAAAAAAAAAATGTAAATGAGAAGAATTAACAAATTTGAAAAAGATCATCCGGTATGTACCTGTGTGGAGGGGTTTTAGTCCTAAATTAAGGATTAAACCTGGTAACAGTGCTCGCTATAAACAGCCCAGGGAAAGGTCTCTTGCTTTTAAATCTGCTAAAGCAGAGAACGAACGTACCTGGACATTCAGCATCCATCTGTCTGAGAGAAACACCAAAGTGAGAAAAACCATCTAAATTTAAAGCAGACACCAATGGCTAATAAAATGAGTAAGAACTGGATATGGCCAGGCTAGAAATAAAATTCCTAATGGATGGAGAGCCTGGAAGAACTTCCCAACAGCAGCAGAAGAGGCAATAAGCTCACTTAAAAACCCTTTAAGAGTACTCAAAGCATACTTAAAGTTTTTGCTGAAAATCCCGGAGAGCGAGGAAGGTGTTGATGTGGCATCGGAAAATCCAGCTGGTTTTTGGCGAGATCATTTCTGCTGAAGTGCTTTTAGCCCTTTGGAGATGCCAAGCCCACCCCCAAGTTCGCACAGCAAGATAACGATCGAAATTGCTGGTTAGGTCGTGTGTTTGACCTATTTGTGTAAAAAAAAAAAAAAAAAAAAAAAAAAGAACAAAAAAAAAAAGCCCCAAAAGGTAAACTGTAAAGCAGTTTTCTCCCTTCCCCTCCAGAAAGTGGCGTGGTCTGCTCCAGTCTGCAATGAATCGAGACTAATTCGGGCTGATGGGATGAGTCACCGGCACCAAATACAAAGTCGGGGGTTTATTTCAAAGCTCGCCAGCTGAGATTCAGCACGCGGACTCGTTGAACAGATGCAACCTTCAGCTTGACTCAACGTCTCTAACGTTTCTAAGAAAAGGAACCCTGCTTGCTGTCTGTCTGCGCTGCACAGATTGCTGCAGAAAGTCCCATCGATCCCGAAATTAAAGTCTGAGACCAAGGGAGGTCCTGTGGCTGGACCCATGGCAATGAGCTGCCTCGAGCCTCCAGAAAAGCTCCTTCCCAGAGGTCTGCACATCCCATTTCCTACCAGATTTTATGCCACTGTGACTATTCTTAGGAAAGCTGGTACAGTATAGAGGAAGTTTGGGTTTGTGCAGCTATTCCAGCAGAATATTTTAGCCCAAGGGAGCAGCAGAGGCATTTTGGTAGAACATGGGACAAGAGGGAGAATTGAAATTGATAAATGAATTTTAAAATAGATTATCACTTGGTAAAAATGCTGTAAAAGACCTCAGGTGGAAAACACAGAGCAAAATCCCAACTGCAACAAGCACACCAGCACGGGGAGGCAATTCCCAGAAATATCTCAGGTTTGTCCCTGGCTGCCCTTGTGCCAGCAGCAGAGCCGCGCAGCATCCTTCGCCCCGCTGCGGAGCCCGGGGGATCGCAGATATCGGCAACCGTACGTACGTAACGATGAAAACGAGCCCGTATCGCACAAGATGATCCCATAACCGCCCCGTTTTGCCGAGGCGCCTGGCTCACAGCCCATGTTACATTGGTCACGAGAGAAAACCGATGCCAGGACAAAGCTCGTTTCTGTCTGGCATTAGTGCTCACAGCCCGTGTTACACTGAACATTGGTCACAAGAGAAAACCGATGCCAGGACAAAGCTCATTTCTGTCTGAGATTAGTAACCGCAGGCACTTGTGTGCAGGGAAACAAATACATTCATATACACGATGCCAGTCAGCCCTGAAACTGATGGAAAACCCAGAAAGCGTGGGTAAAATCAGGTATTTGGTAGGACTGGGAAATGGCGGGGGCTGCGGGGGCCCCAGGAGCAGGACCAAGTGGATCTGGGATGGGGGCAGCTCAGCGCAGACTGAACCTTCCTGAATTTTTTGGTAGA